CTTGCGGTCGCTCGATCCTGGCTAGCTCTGGAGGCAGGATCTGTTTAGAGGGCGCCCTTTTGTCTAGGATACAGAGGACTTTTTTTTTACCTTTTCCTATTCCTTTTATTTTTTGCATAAGCCAAACACACAAAACGTTTTAACGGAATTGGCTACCGGCATTTGCGGCGGCGCGCATAAAAAAGAATCTCGGAGAAAAAACTTGCTGCGGTAGCCGCCAATTCCCTCGAGCGAGCGGCGGCGCACAATTTATCAAAGCAGCGGCTTTTACAACAAGAAGAAGATGAAGAAGAAGAAGCAACAGCAGCAGCAAATGCAGTGCAGTCCAAAAGTCCCGCCAACTCCCTCGGGGCCTTGGCCAATGAATTTCATTAATAAATTCCAAACAAAAAATTGTTTCTTTCTTGTGGAGTTAAACATAATGAAACAGATTTTCTAGAGGCGTGCACTATGCATGGAAAATGTTTGGGAAAAACACATGAAAAATATTTGGTAAATATTTGCAAACTGCTGTGGCAACTGTCAAATGTGTGTATGTGTGTGTGGAATGTGTGAAAGGCAAGACTCTAAATAAAAGATGAAAAATGAAGGGACAAGAAAAAGGAATTATTAATGGAAACTAGTTTTTTCGAGGTAAATGAAATTGAAGTTATGTATGTAAATGAATTTTGAATATTTTAAGGGCAATTCAAGCTATACAAACTATATTTGATATGAGTCATTTATTAATATTTTTTAATGTAGAATAACTTAAAAAAAACATACTTAAGGTAAGCTATTTATTGTTTTTTTCTTTTTTTTTAATAATATCGGAATATTTTAAGTAAACTAAATGTTTATTTTTTAATTTATATCTTCATTCAGTATATATAAGTAACAATTTGTTATATATACTATAAATTATTTATTATAATTTTTTTTTATTATTATAATATTATCTTTTTATTTTTATACAATATTACAATATTATTACCATATTATATTATTATTATATGAAACGATTTATGAATATAAACTTCTAGCATGTATTAATCAGTTAAATATGTAGTTATTAAATGGAGACTTTCTACTTCTCATTATAGATCCATTATAATCTAAGAACAAACTTCTCTGGCGAGATAAAAATAAATCTTTTTTCTACATTATATTTCAATTTATTATGAAACTTGCAGCAAATAAATATGATTCATGGAACATCTAATTGAATTTCATTGAATTCCCTACAAATGATTCACATCGAAAAATTCTATAACAATTTAAGAACCAAAATCGAATCTAAATTGAATTCTAAATATAAACATTTCAAACATTTCCGGCCACAGATTAAGGCAAGTGGCAAGTGGCACCACAAAGTGCAGCCGGATGAACACGTGCCCCAAAAGAGTTGCAAGTGCCCGGACGCACCTAAGAGCAACTCAAGTATTTCAATGCATTGATAAAGAAAGCCAAGAATTCAAATGTAACGGAAGTGCCAAGGAAATGAATGAGATGAGATGCTGAGCTTAAGAGCAACTTGATTTGTTTTTACAGCGATCAGCATTAGGGGGAGCTGAGTCAGGCCTCAGCATTAATCATAAATACCGGCCACGTAGGTGGCCCAAAGAGGAAGTACAACTGGAAGAAATGTCCAGAGATTCTTATTGAATTGAGCCAAAGAGATGGCCGCATTGTTTTCACTCGTCACTGGACCAGGACAAATTCAAGTCCTGGCGGCATTTCACACGGCCAGCCAAAAGAAAGTGTTCAATTTCGAGCAGACGATGTGAGGAGAAACGAGAGCTCGTTAAAAATATTAATGAGCAATTGGGCGGCACGAAATGAAACGAAGCACTTGAGGCTATTTTACAACAACAGCAACAACATAAGCAACTGCAACTCGGAGAAAGTACCAGAGACAGTTTTACAACACTAATTAACAAGCGAAATCTTGCCCGTCTTTTTGTTTATTTTCACAAGTGGCACTTGATTTGGTTCTTGAACTGTTTTTGTCCAAGTCTCGTAAATTAGGCGGCTGCTTTTGTTTTCACAACTTGTGTTTATCTTCTGCTTAGGTGACATGCGCGTTTGCCACTGTCACACACACACACACGCACACACACACAGTTGCTCTCGCTCTCACAGTCTGTGGCACATCCTTGAGTCGAGGAAGCTGTGCAAAGCGCGAAACGCGCACCACACACGTTGCATTCTCGGGCATTTGACATTTGCCTTGGTGAAAGTGTCACATTGACAGCCCTAGAAACATGCCCACTTTGCCTGCCACGCCTCTAGTCTG